TTTGGCTGCCCCTTTCTATGAATTGGGCAAACAGAGATGGTAAAGGCATAAATTAACAGAATCACACCTTCATGCCTTTTGGAAATTACTTCCCCAAATAGAAAGCTGCTGTAGAAAAATCCTGTTTGACACAGGCATTATAAAAGGGTTGGGGGCCTTGGCTGTCACCCTTAGCACCCTCACAAACATATGGAATATATCTGACAAAGCAAGCTAGGAGAAGGCTCCTTTATTCCCATCCCCTAGACCAGTGGTGGCGAACCTATGGCGCATGTGCGACACCAGGATGCTTGTATCATAGAAAGCTCTAAAAGGTTTACCATCACTGCCTTAGAGCTACAGGAGTCAGTCAATAATAAATAGAAGGCATTTCATATTAAGGGGATAGAGATGAATTATTAAAAAAATGCATTTCATAGAAACTTCAGAAACACACACATATGGGCCCTACTCAAAAGTGCCCATCAGATTTCTGGTGACTAGAAATCTGTGCCAATGTGGTCTATATGTAAAACTTGGAGGAAAGGAGAATGGATGAATTGACAGAAAGATTTTACCTTCTACAAACTTTGTTCACTGAGGAGTCACAATTCCTTCCCCCATGTACTTCTATCTTTCATAAGACCCTTAACTATGTCAAAAGAAGCTTAATTCACATATGTTCTTTAAAGAATTAGTTTTAATAAACCCCATATATAAGGGCTCAGGCTAGGCTTGTGATTCTGGCAGTCTGGAGTGGGGAAAAGGGCCATGTCTTCACTCTCATTACTCTCCAAATCCCACCGCCATTCCTCATTCTGTTGGTGCCCGGAGAAGGTAAAGAAGAAGATGACTCATTATAAGAACCCATGGGAAGCCAGGCACTGTGATGCACACCTGTAATCTCAGCACTCAGAAGGCTGAGGCAGAAGAAGTGCTATGAATTTGAGGCTAGCCTGAACTACACAGTGAGACAGAGAGAGAGAGAGAGAGAAAGAGAGAGAGAGAGAGAGAGAGAGAAAGAACCCACCCACAGGAAGCCAGGTCATCCTCTCTAACCATAATTCTCATCTTCATATCCAGTACTTCTCAACTGTGGCACTACTGACATTTTAGACCAGAAAATTCTTATTTGTGCAGGGCCATCCACTGCATTATAGGATGCTCAGATATCCCTAGTTAGATAGAAGAATCCTTTCCCAATTGTGGCAACTAAAAATATGTCAATTGAGTGACTATTAAAATATAATGTCACTCTTCAAAAAGCTTCCCTCACCACCTCAATCTATTCTCTCAATATTTAGCTACTGGGCTGAGGATTTAGCTCATGGTGCCATTGCCTGCCTTGCAAGTGCAAGGTCCCAAGTTCAATCCCTGGTACTGAAGAGAAAAAAAAAAAAAAAAAAAATTCTGCTACTATTTTTAGTCAATTTGTTTATTCCGCTTTTCTCCATTAAGATAAAGTTTTATAGTCTGCCTTCTTCCCTGAGACATCTCCAAGCATTCTGACAAGGGCCTGTCATATAGCAGGCACTTTTAAATGAATGATCTCATTTAATCTATCTATATCAGGGCTGCTTGAAATACTGAAAACAGAAGGAACTGAGGCAGAGGGAGGTTAAGAAACTTGCTGACGGTATGCCAGGCGGGAAGTTTTATCTGACTCCAGAACCTGTGTGTGTGTGATGAGTGATGCAGAGGTTTGAACCCAGGGCGTCACACATGCTAGGCAAGAACTCTACCACTAAGCCACAGTTCAAGCTATCATTTCTCATTTTTATGCTAAACTTTGTAAGTATGGAAAATTTGTTTGGAAATTTTATGCTCAAAATTGTTTTTATCTAAATGATCTGTTTTGTTTTGGTTTTTTTGGTACCAGGGATCAAACCGGGTTCCTTGTGCTTGCAAGGCAGGCGGTGGAACCACTGAGCTAAATCCCTGGCCCTCATCTAAATGATCTGATAAATCCTGAGGTATGATAAAGGTGGTTACTAAAAAATGATTTGATCATGAAGTAGTTTAGCATGAGAGGATTCTATCACGTGGCAATGTCATCAGTTTGTCCTCTGACTAAAGAAGAATAAAAATCTAGGAAATAGGATTGATGTATAAGGATATGGGCTGGGTACTATGACACATGCCTGTAATCTCAGTATTTGAGAAGCTAAAGCAGGAGGATCTCCACAAGTTCAAGGCCAGCCTGGACTATATAGCAAGATCCTTTCTCAAAAAGGGGGGTGAGGAGGATATGCAAGATGTCTTATTAAGGAATAATTCCAGTGAATATTGAAAATGACATCAGACAAAAAAATTAAGAGTTTATTAAAAGAACATTCTATGGGACTGGTGAGTACCATATAATCTTTCTTTTCCAGGTATGAGATTCTAAGGTCCCAGAAGACAGGAGCAATCTTTTAATTGTACTCCAATAGAGCACCATATGTTACCTTATACACAAAGATTGCTACCTGTCAAAACACCCTTTCTTCCTGGAAGAATACTGGTCCTGCTCCTGTTTTGTTCTGGTGTCTCAATCACTAGGCAGGGGTAATTCCTGAGGCATTTGGGAGCCCTAATAATGTTCATAAAATGGCTAAGAAGGGTGGGGAGAGGGATCTATAAGCAACCTCTTCTTGATGCTATCAATGAGCATTTTTCCAGAAGTGGCTGCAATAGCAAATGTGCCTAAGGTAAGTTTTTAAGGAAGACTGCCCTGTTTCTATTTGATACTACTGTTTAGGGAGCTACATACGACTTCATACAGGAATTTTTGAGACAGAGGAAAGAGGCAGGTATGGACATTTTAAAATCAAAAATTAAATGGTGCTGATAAAAAACAATGCCACTCTACAAAAAAACACATAATAGGCCAGGCATGTGGCACAAAATTGTAATCTCAACACTCAGGAGGCTGAGGCAAGAAGACTGCCGTTGAGTTCAAGGCCAACCTGAACTACAAAGTGAGACCTTGTCTCAAATAATAGTACACACACGTTTAAATATTGCATTGTTTCTCTGGCGTGAGAAACCAAAAGTGGAAATAAGGACTAAAATGTGTAACACATACTGGGAAATGGGAAGAAAATGTTCAAATGAGAAGGGGAACAAGGGCAGGGTGAGGGGAAAAGGAAGGAAAGGACAAGAAAAAAAGAGAATAAAAGCAAAAAATGGAAACAAAGCTTTTATAAACAAGGAAGGGAAGTTGGGTCGAGGGGGGGCAATGAGAAAAAAAGAAGCAAGATATATCATGTACAGGTATAAACTCCCTATGATGAAAGTTATCATTATGTATATCTTAAATGCACCAATAAATGTTTTGCTTCAGAAATTAATAAAACTGGAAGGGGAAAAAATAATAGTACAAAGAAATGGTATCTGCCATGGTTCCCCCATTTATATTTCCATCACTCACAACATTTAGTATGATGGCAAAAGACATGATAACAGAAGATTACTGTACTTAGGAACTAAATGAGCGTTCTCAAATTTGGAAAGATTGTCAGAAGAGAATTAACCATTAGCATCCAAAGTGGAACCTTCACCCCTCTCTCCAAAATTGGCAAGTATAACAATCTCTGATAATTAATTAACATTTGCTAAATGATCAATCCAGTGATAGACATTGAACAGTCAATAAGAATCCTGTTAAATTAAGAGGATATGATCCTAATCCAGTCACTGCCTAAGTATCTGACAGTGCCTGTACTAATAAGCGGTAAGTCTTCTCTTCAAAATGTTTTCTCTAATTAATGTTTACTCCAAAGCATTTAGAGTGTATCTCCGTACTATGAGGAGAAAACACAGCCAAAGATAGGAGCAGTAAGTGTAACGAGCCATGCTGAATGGAACAAAGCTGACAAAAAAGCACTAGCCTGCAAAGAGAAAGACACCTCATGTAATAACTACTCTTTAGGGCCAGAGATTTAGCTCAGTGGTGCCGCCACCTGCCTTGCAAGTGCAAGATCCTGAGTTCGATCCCTGGTACCAAAAAAAAAAAACCAAAAAAACTACTCTTCTCTGGCAGAGCCTTCATTTAAGATGGTAGGCTCACTGCACTCATGTTGGGCAGTGAATACATAAAAATCAAATTGTATCCCTAAGCTTCTTATTCCCACTTTACATGTGGAAAAATAGAGGCACCACAAAGAAAACTACTTTCCCACAACAACTACTACCACAACAGAAGGATATTCCTTCTAGAAATTCCTCCCAAAACTACCAGGCAGGGTTCAACTACAGAAAGAGATGAAGCCAGAGATGGCAACACACACCTGTACTCCCAGCACTCAGACTGAGACAAGCTTGAGGCCAGCCTGGGCTACACAGTACATCCAAGACCAGCCTGGACTATATAGTGAGATGTTGTCTCAAAACAACAATGATAACAAAGACAGATTACAATTCTATGTGGCAAGTGAATAACTCCACATGGTTCACACATAAGGTAAGTACAGATTCAGATTCAACAGTTCTGACTTACTCAGCCAAGGACTTGAGCACCAAACTCCAACTGGCAAAGAAAAGCAATGAATGCAACAGGCATGAGCAATCAACTCCTCTTTCCTTCCAATGGTCCTCTTTCAGAAGCAGCACATAAAGGCAGGATCTTAGTGCCACAGGAGCTGCCATCAATGATATACACGCTAGGTCTGTGTGTTACCACTGACCCAGAATTTCTGTCCCAGGCAAACTCTTGGGGTCCTATGCAATCAAGGACTGTTCTTTGCATCAGGATCCCCATACTTGACACACTCTGAAACTTTCATATTTTTCCACTTACATTCTTTGAAATCCACTCCAAGTGCAACTGTGCTCCAGTTTTAAAAATACACTGTGTCCATTAACTCTTCTAAAGATACCTTCCTAGGCTTTCTTAAAAGTTCTGCTCACAATAGGAAATGTGGTATGCTCCACAGATAGATTTCATGTACCTTTCCAAAGTGAAATCATTTGAAACCCTCCCTCCCCATACATTAAAAAAATATATCCTTTCAGATCATTTGACCGAAGTATAAAGCAACCTGGTTGGCCTCCATGCATCCGATGGCATCTTCCAAGAGTGAAAACTCCACGCAGACATAGCCATAGTCGTAACCTGGGGACAGCATTTAAATACAGACGGGAGTGGTGTTAGTGCCTTGCAAACACAAAAGACACACTTCAATCCCCTGTTTCTGAACCCCTTAAACACAAGCCCTCCCAATGAGCCCCTCCCTCCCCTACCCTAAGCAAAGTTGCTACCCAACAGAAAAAAGTACTGAAGGAAAAGTCTGGATGTTTCTGAACTTTGAGATTCATTCCAAAACGGCTTTTTCTATTAACCAGGAAGATCTTTGCCCTCTGTAGCACTGCTGATCTGGCAAGGGTGTCCCAGAACTAGGAATTCCCACAGAAGTTCATACGGAAACCCAAAATATTTTAACCACAGGCTGATCTCCTAGAAAAACAAAGTCAACAATAACAAGAAAGTATCTGGGGAAAAATGTATCCAGAGAGAAGGAAGAGAAGCAATTATCCAAAGACTATGCTAATGGTCACCACTTTCAAGCAGAAACCACCTTCAAAGAGAACTGCTGACAGACAGGAGGCTTCTGGTTAACAGGGGACAGACCATGTCAGGTTTCCCCACCCCCTCAGCTGTTTCAAATATGTCATAAACCAGCTAAAATATTTATGAAAGAAAGATGGTATAAAAGCGTAAATATGAATATCTCAGTCCAAAATTGTGTGTATGCACAAAGACTACAATTGAAGCTGGCTGGGGGAAAAAGAGCAGTTCAGTAGTTAGCAATCAATATATGTCCAAGAATTTTATGTACCATTAGAGTTTTAAAATATCCTTCACCTTACTCCTGAGCAGCTGTCATTTGCAGCACAGGCCTAAAGTACTCATGATGCATGAGATTAGGAAGTCATGGGATTTACAGGCTGTAACACTAACTCACCACTCTGCAACTTCCCTGATGCTGCCACTATATGACTACAGAAGTACACTTAGCATCGCAATGTTTCACAAGCAGCTTCCATGCTTCCTCTATGGTCTCACAGGACAAAAAAACCTCATCTCTTAAGAGTGGCACTATACAAATGGAATAGCAAGAAAAAGATGTGATTTTGGTTCACATGAGAAAAACATTAAGGGAAAGAAAAACCATACAAAACCAATGGCAATTTTGTTTTTTTGGTACCGGGGATTGAACTCTGGTCCTTGCCCTTGCAAAGCAGGCAGTGGAACCACTGAGATAAATTCCCAGCCCTCTCCAATGGCAATTTTGTATACATAACAACAGAAAACTGACACTGAATCAAGTTATCAAGTAAAACATATAAATAAGAAGTATAATTTGCCTGGGGATATAGAGCATGTGCTTAGCTGGAAGTTCTGGAGGACCCAGCACCAAAAAAGAAAAAAAAAGTAGAAACTAAAAATCATACCAAAGCTGGGTATGGTGACACACATCTATAATCCCAGCACTCAGGAGGCTGAGGCAGGAGGATTGCTGTGAGTTCAAGTCCAGCCTGGACTACACAGCGAGACCCTATCTCAAAACAACAATAAAAAAAGTACTTAAAAATCATACCTGGGCCGGGTATTTAGCTCAGTGGTTCTGGCGCCTGCCTTGCCAGCGCAAAGATCTGAGTTTGATCCCCGGTACCAAAAAAAAAAACAAAAAAAAAATCCCCCCCCCCCAAAAACAACAAAAAACCCAAAAATCATACCTAATTTAGTGAAATGAATTCAATTCCTTGTTACATGGAATTAAGAGCCTAAAATATTTTATTATGACTAATAAATTTTCATTTTAGACTCTACTCCAAGTTCACAATACAATATTACAATGATATTTAGGATGGTCCTTGCTCTGCATTTTAGGAAATGACCAGGAAGAAGAAATGGAAGTTACTAGAATCCAGCACTACCTTGGGATTTTCTATCCTAATTTTGTAGCTTTAACTAACAAATTAAAATGAACTCCAACTTGTATGTAAATTTAGCATAAAATCAATCTCTTCTGATTAGTGACTCTTTGAAGAAATAAAACAAAGAGGCCCGGGGATTTAGCTCAGTGGTTTCACCGCCTGCTGCGCAAGTGCAAGAACTCGAATTCGATTCCCAGTTCCAAAAAAAAAAAAACCAAAAAACCAAAAAACAGAGAAACAGTATACGTATTTGCATATATCCCATTAACCACAGGAACTGTTTTGTTACTTGATTCCAAATGACTTTCCTGACCAAATTCTGTGCACATCCAATAAGTGCAATATTCTGCATTTTGTAGTGTCCTGAATATTCTTTGGAAACAGTGTAGACTAGCAGAAGCTAAGATGCTTGTCACCAAATATCTACTGCAAACACTCAAAATCATGTCTATAACCAGAAAGGACTGGCCATGAAACAAGCAGATATGCTTCCTAATATACTGATTACCTCTACAAAACGCATGAAAGGAATGCCCAGACATACAGAAAGCAACCCTCTCAGCCAGGCATGTGGTAGATGACTGTAATCTCAGCATTCAGGAGGCTGAGACAGGAAGATTATAGTGAGTTCAAGGTCAGCCTGGGTTACACAGTGAATTCAAGGCCAGCCTGAATTACCTTGTGAGATCCTGTCTCCAGGAAAAGAGAAAAAAAAAAGAAAGAAAGCTACCCTATCTATAGCTTCCAAAATGAAAAAGAGAAAACTGACATCAAATTCTTGAAAATCTGTTTCCTTTTTTTTTTTTAACTATGGAACCTTCACAAATTTGTATGTCATCCTTGTGCAGGGGCCATGCTAATCTTCTCTGTTATCATTCCAATGATGGTGTATGTGTTGCTAAAGCAAGGACCTGTTTCCTTTCTATGCTTAAAAAAGTGACTACTGTGGCTTAGAGAACACATAGAATCTGTGGATAGAGGGAAGATTCATGACAATGTTTATATTTTGCTAAAGTGATATCAAAGTCACTAGGCAGGAAATTAAAGTCTATAGGAGTTATGAACATCTGATAGCACTGTATAGCAACCTTGCAATAATATTAAATTGCTACTTAATTTCTTTCAACTAAAACTTTAAATTTAAGGTTAAATTATATTATCTAAAATTAAAAAAAAAAAAAAGTACCTAATCTTTATCCTAGGCATTCTGTATGGTGCATACTCCAGTTGTATCACAAAAACACTGGGAAGTTGCCAATAATAAACAATGACATTATCTAAAAAATATTTACATAAACACAGGCATGGTAGTGTATACTTATAATCCCAGCACTAAGGAGGCTGAGCCAGGAGGACTGCACCTAACTCAAGACTAGGCTGGGGCTGGGGATTTAGCTCAGTGGTTCCCTCGCCTGCCTCGAAAGGGCAAGGTCCCAAGTTCAATACTTGGTACCAAAAATAAAAAATAAAAAATAAAAAAAAAGACTAGGCTGAGCTACACAGTGAGTTTAAAGCCACTATGAACTACAAAATGAGACTGTCTGAAAAAACCAACCAACCAAAACAAACAAACATAAATTTACACAGAACTTGTTGGAACAAGTTTCTATTTCAAAACACTTTACATAATATTCATCTCCTTTTACATATGAGGAAACAGACAAAGAAAGGATAAATAATTTGCTCGAACACACTTTAATAATAAGTACCGATACTGAGCTTTTAAACCCAGGCAGTACAGATTCAAATGGATGCTGTTTTCCACTACCTTGTACAGCTCCTCACTCTTTAATAAGATACTAGACTGATTTAAATAATCTGAATTCCAAGCTCTACATAGCCCAGTTAGAGTCCCAAATGCCTGAGCACAGCTAATCCCTGGGCTGTGGTTAAGACAGACAGTATTAAGAAATACTGTAATAAACAACATTTGAATTATCTATGACAAAACCATTGTGAGTGGGCCTGAATAAGCAAGTCAGAAGTATTCACTCTCAAGAAATGACTCTCCAAATTGGCTCCTAAATTCTTCTAAAAAGACAAAATCTAAAAAGCCTTGTTGTAAATGATGGTTATAAAAATCATAAAGGAGTAAGGAAAGATCCTTGATATAGTATATTTTAAAGCTTTACAGATATAATATACCCTTGTGGATAATTACACATAAAATGTGTATAGAAAAAAAGGACTAGAATAAAATACAACAAAATTGCATCTAACTCAGAGATTAGAAACAAAACTCAGCAAGTGAGATGAAAACCATGCACTTTCAAAATTGTACTTGGAGACCCGAAGGTAAAGAACAACATACCATCTCTCAATATAGGTAAATCCAACATTGCCAGTTTTCCTCCAGCGTCGCAACCCACGGATTTTCCTTTTGTTGACAATAGATGAAGAGGTTGGCTTGCATTTAAGGGGCATAATGTATGAAAAATATATTGCTTTAAATAATAGAATCACAGCTAGCACAGTTAATGCTTACACTCAAGAGAAACGTGGAAACAAATCAACTGAAGCCACAGCCACGTCTCATTCCCACCTCTACAATCATTCCATGAAATGGAAAACATGGTGTGGGATAGAGGGAAGGGTTTATGTAAGTATAGGTGAATACACAAAAATCTGAAAATAAATGTAATGCAACACAACTGTGTACCAAAATGATTACAGTAGTTGTTTTGCTATAGTAGAATAATCAGGGACTTATTTCACTTCCCTAATGTAATAATGTAACTCATAGAAAAGGTTCTAGTAGGCAGAGGATATTCTACCTACAGATAAAACATTCTGAAAATAACCAACGAACCTTGCATTCAGCATTGCTGGGAACCATTGGGAATCATCAAGATGGTAAACTTAGTGTCAACAGTCTCACAGATTTTTAGCTGAGAGAATATAAAAAGATCTATTATCTTTTCCTTCAACCATCATTTTCTAGGAAGAGTCTGGTGGTCTGATGGGTCTTTGTGCTTATTTACTATTAAAAACCACATCTGAGGGTTAGCTCAGTGGTTTCGCCACCTGCTGCGCAAGCGCAAGGACCTAAATTCAATCCCTGGTACCAAAAACAACAACAACAACAAAAAAACCCACATTTCAGGGGCCAGGGATTTAGCTCAGTGGTGCTGCCACCTGCCTTGCAAGCGCAAGGACTCGAGTTTGATCCCCAGTACCAAAAAAAACCCCATATCTGACTCCATATTCTAGCCTGTGTATACAAATCTCATAGAAATAGGAATTGCCTTATGCTTTTTTAGGCATAGAGAAGGATGAGAACAAAGCAACAAGGGAAAGAAAACTAAAAAGTTAATGTTATATATATATTGGTTTTTTTGAGATAGGGTCTCACTATGTATTCCACGCTGGCCTTGAACTCCCTGTGTAGCCTCAGTTGACCACAAACTCTCTGTGATACTCCTGCCTCAGCCTCTCAAGTGCTGAGCTTACAGATAGATGTGTACCACCATGCTCAGCTAAAAAAAAAGTTAACATTAAAATTTCAAATCTTCATCTTCATTAACTATTTGGTGGCTTGGTCACCAAAAAAGTATCTGCAGTAAAAGCTCATCACGTGGGTAGAAAGAAAAAGATACAAAAAAACAAAGACCTCATGAATAATATCCAATCCCAGAACTAACTCTTCAGTCTCTGGCCCTAGAAAAGCTGGTTCCATGATGCTGACAAACATATCCTCAGACTTGGCCGGGGGTTTAGCTCAGTGGTTCCAACGCCTACCTTGCAAGAGCAAGGTCCCAAGTTCGATCCCTGATACCAAACAACAACAACAACAACAACAAAAGAGACTACTGGCTGACTTTGAAAAAGCCCAGAATATACACATCAACTATGAAATGTAAAAGGGGATCATGATGTTAAGCCATAAGCAGGTGAGAGACAGTTTAACCAGTATGGTTGAGAGGAAAACATTTTTTTCTCTAAGCAAATATTATTTTGAGTAGAGAGAATCATAAATATAAAAAGTGATTTCCAACAGGCATTTTTCTGTTAAAAACTCAAGTGAATATGCACCTGGTATCCTCAATTATGAAAACCAGGAAAATACCATACCCAATTTACAGTATGTGTCAAACTACCATCTGTGAAAAACTGACTTAGTCTACATGTAACCTATCACTTTGACATCTTATAAGTTTGTTTGTTTTTTTTTTTTGGTACCAGGGATCGAACTTGGGACCTTGCGCTTCCGAGGCAGGAGCTGGAACCACTGAGCTAAATCCAAGTATTTTTAAGCCAAGAGTAGGGGTGCACATCTGTAATCTCAGCACTAAGGAGGCCAATGCAGGAGGACTGTATGAGTTCAAGGCCAGCCTGGGCTACATACAGCAAGATCCTATCTCAAAAATAAATAAAACATCAGTTTTCTCCACCTCAAAGACATATATAAGGATTGCTGATTTATAATAAACCAAAAGACACAGGAACATGTACAATGATGAATATTTGCTAATTTTTTTTGGGGGGGTACTAGGGATTGAACTTGGGACCTTGTGCCTGCAAGGCAGGCACAAGGCCATTGAGCTAAATCCCCGACCCACTTGATAAATTTTTTTAAGTGGCATGGCTCTATTTTATTTAGTTCTTTACCTGTATAAAATGGTAAAAGGGGGAAAAAATTCTTTAGTTTTTCTTTTCAAAGTCCAAAATTAATCCTAGCGCCACTTTATCCTGCTGATGATCCTCTGGGGCCAGGATAACGTGTCATGAAGCTCCCACCCTTATTTATTTGAATTCCACTGGCAGTAACACTCCTGTGGGAGGATGATGGACAGCAGAAAATTACTCTAAGGAAAGAGTCATAACAAGTACACATAACTGGACTACCTCAAGATGACCTTTTCAGTCAAAAAGAATAAATAGGGCTGGGGATTTAGTTCAGTGGTTCTGCTGCCTGCCTCGAAAGCGCAAGGTCCCGAGTTCGATCCCCGGTACAAAAAAAAAAGAAGAGGACAAAAGGAGTAAATAGTCTTTAAACAGCCAGTAATCTCATTCAGTTGTCTTTCACATACACTCCTGCTACAACCATGAGGAATAAACAAGAGCCTTTCAGATCTGCTTTTCCACAGACACAAACACTTCAGCTGAGGAGAAAGGACAGTAACAGACTGGCAGAAGTCTCACCCAGGAGAAGAGAAGCATCAATGCTGCAGCAAACTGGCCATGCTGAGAGGTGACACCAGAACAATGCAGGTCCCAGATTAAGGATGGGGTCTCTTTTCATTTCTGTATCCCCAACCTTACCACATTACTTAGCTTATAATGGTGCTCAGCCAATGTCACATTAATTGTCATAAGCATTGTCACTGGAGCAACATACAAGCAAAGAAATTGTCATACTCCTATATTTCTTTCCCTTTTTTTGGTTTTTTGAGGCAGCATCTCCTTTTGTAGTTCAGGCTGGCCCTGAACTCACTATGTAGCCCAGGCTGACCTCAAACTCACGGTGATCTTCCTGCCTCAGCCTCCCAAGTGCTGGGATTACAGGTGTGCACCACCACACCCAGCTTATATTTCTTATATGTAACAACCATTGCTTCAGAAAAGGGCTATACAGCACTCTCCACTCATCCATTTACCCCTGACAGACAACCAGTGTCCAACTAAAGGCACTAGATACCAACCATATCCAGCTTTGGACTCCCCATTTGTGGTTATCACACAAGGATTTGGTGCTTGTCCCCGGTTCTTGGCAAGGAGATCTTTAAACCCTTGGAATTTCCTGAGTAAAAAGACTGACAGGGAGGGCCAGGGATGTAACTCAGTGGCACAACACCTGCCTGGCAAGTGCCAGGTCCTGAGTTCGATCCCTGATACCAAAAAAAGAAAAGATTGACAGGTGTTAGGAGTGGTGGTGCATGCCTATAATCCCAGCACTCAGAAGGGTGAGGCAAGAGGACTGCCACTTGGGAGGCCAGCCTGAATTACATAGCAAGGCCCTATTGAAAAAGAAATAACTAATAAGTAATAACAACAACAAAGGAGTGTCTTTGTTCTAATGATGTAGCTCTTATACCTTGAGGATGAGAACTGGTACCAGAAAGACAAAATCTTGGCCAGAAGCTTGAAACATTTAACCTCATACTCACAACTTCTAGAGAAGGCAAGGTGCTGTGGATTTGAGTTAATCACCCACGGTTAATAATTTAATGAAAATTTCCATAAAAAACCTCTACATACAGGGTTCAGAGCTTCCAAGTTGGTGAACACAACCATACACTAGGGGGATGGTATACCCTAATTCCATGGAACAGAAGCTCCTATACTCAGGACCTTTCTAGACCTTGCCTTTCTAGACCTGTACCTCATGTGGCTATTAATTTGTATCTCTTATCTTAAAGTAGTAAACATTAAGTGTTTATACCAAGTTTTGTGATCTGTTCAGGTCATTTTTCATAATAACGAGCTCCCTCATTCTTTTTTTGGGAGGTAGTACCAGGTATTAAACTCAGAGCCTTCACACTGAGCTATATCTCCAGCCCTTTTCAAATGTTTTAATTTTTTATTAGTATATATTTGTGATACATAATAAATACATTCGTCATGATAGTTTTTATTTTGACACACACTGTTGCCCAGGCTGAGCTAGAACTTGGCAATCCTCTTGTGTTAGCCTCTCAGAGTGCTGGGATCACAGGCATGCATCACCATGCCAGGCTGACCATAAGCCCTTTGGGAGTCAGGTGAACTTGGTCACCTTCTCCCAAGAAAAACTGCTACATTATGGCGGGGATTTAGCTTAGTGGTGCCACCACCTACCTCATGAGAGCAAGGTCCTAAATTCAATCCCTGGTACCAAAAAGAAAAAACTGCTACATTTATGACATTCCCTGTACATTTCTCTTTGGACAAGGAGATAACAACTTGTCTCCAAACATCTCCCTCATACTTAAGCAGAGCCTGAGTTGTCTGCTGGACTTCTGTTTTAATCATGTTCCTTACACCCAATATAACATTCTCTGCTCAACGAGACTGGTGTGATTTTAAACCCTGACTTCAAAGGTGAGTTTGAAACCCATAGGCATAGTATTTAAGCTAAGAAAAAACAAATATAAACACACATGCCAAATTTTAACATGTTCCCGCTTCCTACCATCATTCCCACTACCTGACCTAAGAACTCAGATTACTGGTTTTTGGCTCTGCGTGTGTGTGTGTGTGTGCGTGTGTGTGTGCATGTGTGTGTGTGTGTTGGGATGGAAACTGGGGCCTTGTGCATGCTTAAACATGAACTCTATCATTGTGCTATAATTTTAGCTCCCAGATTCCTCTTACATTGTACCAACAAATCTAAAAGACTTCTGGGAGAGAAGAAATTATCTTCTACTGAAAGCCAAAAAACTTCAGGAAGTTAAAACA